ATGTGAATATGACTGAAAAATTTCATTTTTTCTGAAAAGGTGGTGTCTATTTACTTGTGACCACGCTGTGTATATATTCCATATATATTGCAAATGTTAACATCTGAGGTACTTTAATGGGCAGAACCCTTAGGGCTAGTTGTTGGAGTGTCAACTATACTACCGATTACACCAAATTTATCTAATTGAGGATTGCAGTGGTGAGTAGAGCTCACATATCGCTAACTCGAGGTAATTTACAGTTAGAATAAACAAACGGATTCCAAGACTAACATTGAACATAATACAGCAACATTAAATAGGTCTTTCCATATAGTATACACTGTTAACATCAATAGTTAAAGATTTACTAAACTGTTAATTTCTCACAACTTTACTTTTCACCTTTCAGTTAACACTATTAATCAATACATATATACAACATTTCTCTCTAGTATAAGTATTAACTGCCTTTAATAAACTACATTAATTGAACAAGAGAGAGAGAGCAATTCTATACTTACAACAAAGTTGGACTGATATACTTCTTTCTGGGGAACTCTGATTTTTAGCTCCAGACATAAGTTTTTATACTATATTTTCTTTGTATTCTTTCGACCTTCCAAATAGTATTCCTAACTACCTGTAAGTAGTTCTATCACTTTATTGGTCAATCTGTGCAACTTCCCGGGCTAATTAAAAAAAAGAACCAAAACTCTCAAGTAATTGGTTACTGTGATGGTGAGTGCTCCAGTTGCCTTTTTACTTGTATTACACTGGTCTGGAGTAACAGATCTCACATCAAAGCACCAATTTGAGATGCTATCATAAACTTTTAAATAGCCTTTACAGTGCTACTAACTCGGCGTCAGTAACTTATCACTGTCAACTCGTGACTAGTGTTTTTCTCAGCATCCTTGCTGTAGCTTCATTTTTTTATATCTCTTAACTCCCTCACAGCAAGGCTCACAACCTATCAACATACAAGACTTACTGAGATCTTATCATTCTCTAGTTTCATCATATAACTATTTCATACAAGTTACCTGCTCCTAGTGCTGCTTGTCTAGCTGGATTCTGACCAACACCAGCCTGGTACACATTCCCTATGTAAGTTTCTTGAACAGCATCTTTTGGAATACCTGAAAGGTGAATGATTAAACTGATTCTTAAAATTTTTGAATATTGTAACAAGAAAGAACAGGAGGTTGAAACTGATTCATGTTGAAACAGTTTTGAAAGATAGTCAGAATAAAGATAAATTACTATATATAAGCTATTTACAGATAAAAATAAATATTGTAATTTAAATAATGTCAGGCTTAAGCATGAAAGCTTTAGGCTCTTGATGAATCTATAAAGCATTTAAAACATGAACTACTATGACAAGTTACAGATCAAAAATGATCTTCGTTACTGTAGAAGCTGTGACATCTAATAAATAATACTTAATCAGTAAGTAAGCTCGAAATGAAACTTAACACTAACAGTATAGTTAATTTTTTTTTAGAAACTATACAATATGTTAAATTACAAAATTCACATTTGGAAGAATAGAACATTTCAGTATCAAAACAATACTGTAGAAGTATTCTAAATTGTTCTTGTAATATCAAATGAATAAAATAAGAATACATTTAATTCTGTTGTTTGATTGACAACAACAAGTAAAATGTATAATGCTGAAAGAACAAATTATATAACTGAAAAAGAAAGAAAGTAAAAGCAGGAACATGAGAAAACACATGAGAAAGATACCTGCTCTCTCCAGAGCTGCTTGAATTGCAATTGTTCCTAACCTAGGAGCAGTCAAAGACCCTAATGAACCTCTGAAGGCTCCCATGGGTGTACGAGCTGCAGAGACAACAAAAACTTCCTAGAAATAGAAAAATATGGTAAAATACAGTGCAACAGTACACAAAAAAGATCTTGACATAAAAACCTTGTGTAATAATTCATATTTCACCTATTGTTTAGAGACAAAACTGACATGTACATGAACATAAAAAATGCATCCTATTGATTAGCCTACATTACTAGAATAATAATTCTAAACTGCACATAATTAAACATTGAGAAGCCAATTTATATCCCATTTTTGATACTATTAGAATCTCTTTATTTTAATTAAAAGTCAATTTTAACAAATATAATTTTCACATATACATTTGATTTTTAAAATTATGTTAAAAGAAAGGACATATTCAAAAAGAGCAAATATAGGAGAACTTCACTCTGAGCAATGCTCAAGTAGGTCAGCTGACTGGATTTTTTTTTCTTAGTTTTTTTGGAAACTATGATAGAGGATACACTACGATAGGCAAATATTAATAAAACATAACCATTGAGTACTTCTAAGAATAACTGGTAGTATGATCAAATTTTATCTAGCACAGTCTTATACAGAAACAAAATACATCTGAATCTGGCCCTACTTAAAACACACAGTACACCAAAAGTATGTTTCTTGTTGAAATTTTTCATTATTATTTTTTTAATCTTCATCAACTGTACATCATCTGCTGTTTTTCAACCATGATTTAACATTTAAATTATCCACTTTGTTGATGTGATATATATGATTAGTTAGGCAATGGAAGAATTATAATAGTTTTATTGAAACAGCAAATAACTACTAATAATCTGTCTACTAGTATTTTAGAATTTTTTATTCACTTTCTAAGCTGTCATTATAAATATTGAAATCATCTTTTTTTTTTAACTGTGCTACAACTAGAGAATGTTTTAGCCACTAAGCAGGGATTCAAAATCGGTCTCAAATGAGCAAGTCTCTACAAGACCTAGATTTATTTTATTATAATAATTGCTTCCTTCATTGACAGAAAAAAAATGCTCATTGTTTTCTTAGTTACATAAAATATAAGAGCTATTAATGATTCAAACATCAACAAAATATTGAAAGAATAATTGTTGATTCAATAACAAAATTGAATTAATATACTACACATTAAAATTTATACAAGCAGTTTTATATCAAGTACAGTTCTGCATAAAGTCTCATCTACCGAGATTCAAACATACCTTAAAACCACCTCCAGATGCAAGCATTCTGGCAAGAACTTTGTTTGTGCACTGAAATACATATTAGAAATAGTTAACTTACGTGTAAAAATTCATGTTAAAATGAAAAACTATGAAATGCACTTGCATGTAAGGAAGTTATTACTTGTCTGTACTCTAAAGCCATTTTTACTATATTAATTTACTTATTTTCAGACTTCTAATATGAAAGATAATTCAAATTATACATGTTGGCAATAGCTGTATGTCATCAGTACATGTTGATTGAAATACAGATGAAAAAATTCAAAATTTATAATATATAGCAGCTTCTTATATTAAGGACAAACCAGCCTTCAGACAAAATTTATACCAACTTTTCTTTTTCCTTATACACTATTTCAAATAAAAGCATTAAATATGATTAAAAACATTTAACCTTCACATATTCTAAACTTTTTTTTATCTACAAATACAGTAGCTAACAATCTTATTTGCATTATTAAAGTTAAGTTTGTTTTTCTAATGCTTCAAATAGGTTTTGTTATTTAATATGTTAGAAATTACTAAGTTAACATTTAAAGCATAAACAGCAACACGTTTTAATGTTTTCTTAAAGGTTTTAATAGTTTCCCTTACTCTCAGGTGTTAGCTTTACATTTCATCCCCAGACATTATAAGGTTCCTTTATTCGATACACATAGATACACTGACAAAAATGAAAAGATGAATATTCTTTCCCCACAAATTTAAGTGAGGAATACTCGGTTATAGTCTTAATTCTTTCATGCTTTGGCCCTTATGCTCAGGATTAATCTACATAAGTGATGCAAATGCTAAGCATTGGGAGTAATTTTATGCATAAAAAATATATATATATACACTAGATGTATTTACTCATAGTCCCCAAAAATGTTCTGTTTCAAGAGTAACTAAAAACAAAATTAAGAGTAACAAATATTTTTATTTCTTGAAGTTCATATATCATGCTATGTTGTAGCCTACAGAGTGAAAAATTCTTCTCATGATTCATGGCATGCTCACAATTTACTGACATCACGACAGTATGAATTGCAATGTTAAGTGTCCCTTGTGTGATGTCATTTTAGTGTCTACTAACTGACTGACTGACAGACAACACACTTTGATGGTTTTTTTAATACAGTGCTATGCATGGATTCTCAAGTTTTGCAAGTCAAATTTCAAAATGATTTTTCTTTTTAAGAAGGACAGCTTTGAATCAAATGTAGTACAGAAATAAACCTCAATATCTTAAATAACCATTGTTTTGTTATTACTATCATGATAACAATATTCATAACCACCTTCACCTATGCAACAGAATTAACTAACTGATCAATCATACGAGATCAAGTGAGTGATTTCAGACCAATAGGATATATGATTATTTGTT